GTACACGTGGCTGGTTGCTCAAACTACTGAACGAATCTCTGTACCTCAGCCTCCCATCCATGTTTACGGTTTCTCCCTTACTTTCACAAATATTATGCAAAATACAACATGCTGCTAGGTTAGGGGACTTTTTCCCCTGCTGCTTCCGACCTATTTGACAAACAGCACCACCTTCTTTTCAGTCAAATGCATACTCCAGTTCCAACGTGGCTGGTTGCTCAAACTACTGAACGAATCTCTGTACCTCAGCCTCCCATCCATGTTTACGGTTTCTCCCTTACTTTCACAAATATTATGCAAAATACAACATGCTGCTAGGTTAGGGGACTTTTTCCCCTGCTGCTTCCGACCTATTTGACAAACAGCACCACCTTCTTTTCAGTCAAATGCATACTCCAGTTCCATTCTGAGACAGTAGTTACACAGTTTCTTTCTTCTGTCCAAGCAGCCAGTGAATCATTTCATTAACCAGGGAAGCTGAGGATCAGCTGGGTCTACCCAGATAACCAGAACAATGTCTGCACCATTAATGTCCATAGTGATCCTGAGAGCAAACAGCCTTTTTCTCAATTACTATGAACAGAGCTGAGTTCTGAAAATGCCTAGCTCATGAACCTTTTCACACCACTGTATATTCATGTCTATAAACCTGCCAGTGTGATCAACTAGCCCTTGGAGCACCACAGACAGGCTGGAGTGTGCCCCTGATCCCAGTTAAGCAGTTAACTGGTTAAATGTAATGTTTAACCAGTTATCCGGTATTTTATATCCCTGCTTCATGGAGGAGGAAGCTGATCAATGCACAGAACAAGTTCAGAGAGGAAGGAGGAACTTTTTTAGAACTCCTTCTCTGGTGTACCCTCCGCTGGCACAATGACAAAGAGAGCAGTACTAGCACTGATAGCTACTTTCATAGTCCCACTATGATAAAAGATATTCTGGCTGAATTGATTAACTTATGGAATTCCTACTATGGGATATAACTGAAGTAAATAGCACAAAAATGCTTCCTTAGAATTAGACACAGGAGTAAGAATAACATTTGTACATTCAGGAGCTAGGCTAAAATTATAAGGGTTCTTATGCTTCAGGGCAAAAACTGAATGACCACCTGATGGGTGGTATCTAAAAAGGTGTAACAAGGAGGAGGGAGAAAACGTGTTCTTCCTGGCCTCTGAGGATAGAACAAGAAGCAATGGGCTTAAACTGCAGCAAGGGAGGTTTAGGTTGGACATTAAGAAAAAGTTCCTAACTGTAAGGCTGGTTAAACACTGGAATAAATTGCCTAGGGTGATTATAGAATCTCCATCTCTGGAGACATTTGAGAGTAGGTTAGATAAATGTCTATCAGGGATGGTCTAGACTGTACTGGGTCCTGTCATGAGGCCAGGGGACTGGACTGGACTCAATGACCTCTCCAGACCCCTTCCAACCCTAGTATTCTATGATTCTATGAGGTCAGGAAGAACTGCCACCATAGTTAGCTGTAAGATTTCTTTTGCCAGAATTCCAGATTTAATATCTCATTAGTCTCTCTCAGTTCAGCAATAGTTGTGTTCCTAACTAAGTAGCTGAGGGTACATCTACACTGCAGAGGAAGATCGAAGCTGCCGATCTTCCAGGGTCCGAATTAGTGGTCAAGTTAAGATAGCTAATTTGAATTGAGGAGGCGCTCCTGTCAATGCCAGTAACACTTACTTCACAAGGAGTAAGGGAAGTCAAAGGACAGTGTTCTTCCTTCAACTTTCTGCAGTGCAGACAGTGCCAAAAGCCAAGTTAAGATACTTCAAGTTAAGCTACTAATCAATTAACATAGCTGAAGTTGCATAGCTTTATTTGACTTTGTCCTGCAGTATAGACAGTGTAGAAAGGTCCCTCAGTGTAGAGAGGTAGGTCTCTCTTCTTCAGCTGATCTGCCTTAAGATCTGTGCCAGAGTACCAAAATATGGATAACATCCAAGGCAGAGAACTCAGCAATGTAACTATGAAGTTTTATACACACTGAAAAGAGTATTTCTAAATCATCCTCTTATAAGCTCCCTACAATGAATGATCAAATTACACAACTGAAGCCTGAATGCTTGTATTATAAAAGTCTAACTCTACCCAGATTAAAAAAAAAGTTGAGCATTAAGGAACAAGAGATGCAGTGAAGTAATATGCTGGTGTTAAAGGTGTGTGCCATAACCCAAGAGATCTAGGTTCAATTTAGATTTTATAGCCAATCTAATCTAAGAAGCAGTCAGTCAGGAGCTCTTTTCCGATATGAAACTACAATAAATTAAATGCCACTGCCAGAAACCAGGCAAATTAGGAGCAGCACTAGAAAGGTATGAGTCCATTATAAAACCCCTTTCTCTGTCATTAGAACAAAAATAAATCATTAGTACTATATATTTTAGAATAAATAGTCCCCAAGAGCTTTATAGAACATATTTCACCCTATCTGAAATGTGGAAACTTGTGACAGCTCACAAGAATGCTGCAAATCAATTTAGAACGAGAAATGAAGAATATGGAATCCAACTGTACGTAATAGGAAAACAGAATGTCTAACTGGAACTTAGCACACAGTGGTAATATCCCTACTCTCATTTAAAGTGCCATGGGATCTTTAATGACCCCAAACAGTTAGGACTTCAATTTTGTGTCTCATCAAATCATGGCATCTATACTACATCAGCACCCTCTAATATACAGGCAGTCCCCGAGTTACGTGGATCCGACTTATGTCGGATCCCTACATACGAATGGGGCTTTTCTCGCCGCGGAGGACGGGGGCGGCGGGACCGCCCAGACGCACCGCGGTCCTGCCGCCCACGTCCTCCGTGGTGAGAAATCTGCTGCCTGTCTCCCTGGTCCGCTGGGGCT